TTTAATTCTATAAGATCTTGATTTTCATATACAGAACTTCTTGATTGGTTATCAATTTCGGTATCTATAAATATTATGCTCACGTGATTGCGAAATCAATACACGCATATCCTAATTTGATCAATGCGCCACATCACTTCACGTGAGCGTGGATTTTGTTATCAAATCACTAGACAACCCAAAGTCGGTTCCGATCAAATATCAAATTGACAATGTTTAATATGTTGACATAAAATTTTGATGAGTTGCATTGTTATTTTAAAATCGCCATCGATATTAAATCTAAGCACTACGATGCAAAATATGAATGAGTTTTCATAACTAAACTTTTTCTATAAAATAAAATATAAGATTAATTATTTTAAATAAACAATAATTGGTATTTTTGTATCAATTAGTCAATATACAAATAATAAATTCATGCAGCCAAAAGTTAAGCTTTCTAGCAAACAAAAAGAATTAAATTTACAACTCTGACAAAAGTCAGAAAAATTACAATATATAATTAATTAATTAGCTAATTAATTAATTATTGATAATAAATTAATTGATCATCATCGGCGGTCATCAATATTTTTTCTCCTTTCTTACACGACCACCAAGCAATGACCATTCGGCTAATAATTGTTCTTTTACATCCTTCCTTGTTATAAAGTCATGCAGTTCCTCACTAGTGTTTCTCAATTGAGGATCTACCGTTATGCATCTTAATAATAGTTGTCGTGACATGTCGCCTGGTACTGACCGATCAATGTGAAATAAGATTTTAGTAGGATCAGAAACTATCGACCGTAGTTCTTTTAAGTCTGTATCGAGAATACCAGACCAAGGAGCTTGGCCTGAGAATATCCTCCAAATTAAGATTCCCAAAGAATATACGTCCTCAGAGAGAGGATCTATTGGCTGCGGAAGCATTTCGTTGTCATTCTTGGCACGAGGCAATGTAGCAATAGATCTATTGAAGTTTTTTATAAGTTGCATTACGTAATTAATAATTACCTTCGTAAGAATAAATACAATTAGATAAACATTTAAAATATATTACCTGTATAATTTGTATCCGTGATCCGGTACAGTTTGAATTCTTGGTAAAAGATCAATCGTTTCATCGGAAACTTCACCAATTGTCCATTGTCGTACGTCCTGAACTCGTACGAATACAGCTTTTCCAAAATCGATGATTACTAATTCGGGTTTTACGCTTCCATCACTCAATTTTTCATCGGGATGCTCAGTGACCATCATATTAACTTCACTTAGATCCCGATGAGCGAAACCAGCACTGTGGATAGACTTTATTCCGTTGACCATATCAAGAATCAATTTGTATTTTTGATCAGGCGTTAAAAGACGACGGGCATTAAAAGCATACTCCTTTAAAGTCTGTTCATATCTAAGATAAATAGAATAGAAATAGTTTATATCGTATTTCAAGAATTAATTTATTGATTGAGATAAAATGACAAATAATTTGATTAACAAACCTTTTCATTGATATTCCCACCAATTCTTCTTCAGCGCCTTTATATATTGATATGATTTGACCTGTATTTTCCAGACCTTTGGTTTTACTATGAATTATAAAAACATTTTAGGATTTAATCGATTGTACGTAATTCTTATGAGGTATTAGAGAACTCACAGACAGCACACTGTCTCAACAATTCTTGTGCTAAGTGTATTTTCGTTGATTTCTTTGAAATTTTGGATTACAATGCTAGAATCGTCTTGAATATGAAAAACACGTTTGAAAAAACCCTCGGCTTCTATATTTATCGAGTCTCCAATTGATGTCATGCTTTCAAATGGGACATCATGAGCTTCCGCTTCTATATATCATAACGATAAAAATGCAGAATACTTCAATTATAAAGTAATTCAATAAAATACTTAACAAATGTTAGTATTAAGTATCTGTTACATACCAAGGCATAAATTTTGCCAGATATTGTTTGGTCCACTCGATGAAGGGTTGTAACGGGGTAGATTAAGGGCATTAATAAAGTTTTCATGACTTTCAGCCGAGACAAATTTCTTATCGTATAAAGAGACACTATATGGTGTCCTTAAACATGTATGATAAAATTTTGATGATAATTCTAAATTGAGTTCTGTTCGATCTAAAACAGCGACTCGTATCCAAGATCTAGCATCAGCAAGCTCGGGAAAGTCCAAAGTATCCAAATCATGTCGTCGCCCAAATGGTTTTGCTATCAGAGCTTTACAGCGTACAACATTTGTTGGTTTGTGCCAAACAACCGAGAATAAAATAATTAGCAGTGAATCAGGATCATCTCGACACCTTTCGATAGCTGTGCGACCACTTGAAACATACATTCTAGCGAAATTCCGAGTTTGTTGAGATGGTTCAAATCTCATCGGGGGTAATTTTTTTACATTAAAGAGTTCCATAAGTGGTCTACTTAAAGGATCGAATCTTTCAGCAGCTGCTTGAGTTAAGCCATGACTTGCTTTTTTGTTCTCTTCATAAGTCATCATTGGCATGATATAAAGACGACTAGAGAATTATAATTCAATATTAAAATAAAGCTAAATAACCGATTAAAATCATGATATAAAAGAATAAAATCGATTTAATTACCTTCCGGTGTGTGCTTTCACTTTGGATAGTTTGAAATCCTCGTGTGGCAAACGAACTTGATCTGGAACTATTGGATCGGAGCGAGTTGCACAGCCGAACAGATAATTACTAAGAAAAATAACTTTAGTGAACATTTTATGCGTCTTAAATGATACAAATTTTCCCAGAAGTAATACCTTATTCTTGAAACTAATTGTTTAAAACTAATGGCCATTTGTTTAGCTTCCTCATAAATAACATCTTTTTCACGATGAAATGCATAAGCATTAAACATTATCTGACAAATATCTACATATAGCTCATTTGGAGTTGCGTATTTTCGAGCCCAAAGTTTTTGTTCAGCCGTTGTCAGATCCATAAGATCTTTTATCATACTTCGATAGACCAATGCATCTTCTGCCTCTGGATTAACAAACGGACGAGAGAATGCACGTGATAAAAGTTGATCGAATAAAAATGTCCCAATACGTAACATTTCCAGGTGAGTGACTGCTCTTGGCGGAAGAGGTATTGATGACAGATAAGCACGTAGATCTTGCTCAGGAGTAATAATTGCCGTGGATTGTGTGATTAAAGGAGGTGATAGAGATAAGGAATTCTTTAATAATGGGGATTTTTCAGGAGATTTTGTTTTGGAATGCGACGTTAATGAAGTTGACGCTGGAAGGTTTATTGTTGTATCGTTGTCTTTTGAATTAATAGTTGAACTAGTGGTTCTCGAGCCATTGCTATGGGAAGTTTGATTGTTTCTTTGCTTCTTTGTAGATCTACGTATTGGTGTTTTCTTGGTATCAGATAAGGATGGAATCGAATGTTCATTCTCAACTTTTGCAGGACTCATTACTGTCGTTGTGTCTTCTTCCGTTTCATCTTGTTCTGCTAATTCTAATCCTCTTTTCTTTGATAGTACGGGATTAGAAGTCTTTTTGTCTTCGACTATTGACTTTCTTGATTGCGATTGAGGACTATAATCGTTCTTCTTTCGTGCGATAGTTGCCCGTTTAGGAGTCTTTCTGGTGCTAGTTTTTGACTTTGATCTTGCACGAGGCTGTTCCGCAGTTTTTCTGACAAAAGCATCATCGTGATCGACATCTAAATTATCAGACTCTAATAAAGGAGGGGAAGCAGAAGACAGGGAGGTGGAAGGCGGACATTGTTGCAGATGATCAATTTCTGGAGAGGGATTTGGAATTATATTTGAATCAGGTAAATGAGGCGAAGTAAAATTGCGCTCTGATACGGTTTCTTGAAGAAAATTAGAATTAATTTGTGGTTGTATGAAATTATTATGGTCACCACCTAGTTGTTGAGCGTCGTAGTTTATAAGTTCAGGGTCAATCTCCATTCCGTTTTGTATTATAGGTGTAAAAGGAGAGCTTGGTAAAAGTTGCTTTTGTTGTTCCTCAACTCTATTTGTCTGCTGTCCACGAATAATAATATCCTGGGTATCTGCGGCAGCAGCATTCCAAGAAGGGGCTATTGGCTGATTTGAATAAGAAGATATAGACGGCGAAGTATGCATATATTCGTTATTATTTTTATTATCATTAATAATATTATTATCAGAGTTAATATTATTCATAACTGGATATTCAAAAAGTTGTAGTGGTTGTATTTGACTTGTGTTGGTGGTATTTGTTGGTTCGAATATCGGTGCAGTAGATAATAAAGTTCGTGTATTCTGACTATTAATAATGATATTATTCGACGGTATTGAAGAAGTTGAAAGTTGTTGCTGCTGTTGGTTCTGGTTGATGTTGTTCTCTTGCAAACTTTGAATAAGCTGTTGTTGCTGGTTACTGTTACTGTTATTATTGCTGTTATTATTTATAGCTTTGACCGGATCAGTACGTCGAATTTGACGGTTCTTATGCGTTTGCAATACCGGAGGCATATTATATAGAAAAGCTCAACACGAATATTGTCTGTGTCGATAATTTAATATCTTTTTGTTACTATTGGGTTATTGGATAACTAATAGTAATAAAAAATATCATTTTATATAATTGACTTTGACACACAGAGTCTCAAACTTGTATTGTCTACTTGTGTGTGCGTACCTTTCTACCTATGTGTGTGGCTGTTTTTGCCTTTTGCCTAAAGGCGTGCCGTTAATAATATTAAGAAAAAGTGAGCAGCTTTTTTTTTTGAAAATTTAAAGGAACTTGAACGCGACCGGCTGTTTTTCCGAACAAGAAACAGATTGTTGCTTAGAAATATTACTACAATTGCCTACTAAATCCAATTAATATACGTAATTGATAACGACAATAATAATCAATCAATGGAATTTTCTTATATTTTGCGTATAAAAGAAAAATTTATATTTCTTGGAAAATCGAATCTCCTTTTTTGCTATCAAACCTCCCAGGAAAAAATGATACACACGTTCACACAAATAATAAATAATAAAATTGTCCCATTTCGGAATTTTCGATAATTTGGACCGGAATTTATCAAAAGATTCATTTTTATTATAAAAAGAAATAAAAACTTTTTAAACTTTGAACCTTGACGCGTATCCGTCGATTTCTTTGATTTCTTTGCATTTAATTTTAATCACTTTCTCCGGTATAACCTCAAGTTAAACATGCTTTATCCAGAAGAGAGCCTTTATCAAAAGGTAAGGTTGAAAATGTTTTTGGCAACTCTATCGCTATGAATAAACCAATTTTCGCATTGCCGGGTATTAAGCGATCGTGAACATTAATTAGCTTCGTTAATTTCATCAATTCGTAAAAATTTTATGTAAAAGCTTAACCGATTCTCTTTGTATCCAAAGACGATGATATAATTATGTAGTTTCTTTAGTTTTTCAAGAATTATAACCACCAAAACACGCGTCTCAATCCTTAAACATATGCGTATTTATTGAGCTTTATTGATCACTGTTCCGAAATTCCCAAAGAAAATTTTTTCGATGGAGAGTTGTAATTTTGCCAATTCAATGAAAATTTGCTTTAAACTAAATTATATTACATATTATAAGAGTCGAATAGCTTGTCGAATTTAAAATTGAAAATTTGCATTACGATTCGACTGTTTTGAAATGTTCTCTCCTTTAAACGTTTCATACTGCAATTATTTCATTATTAAAATTGTAAAGCATTAAATGAATGAGCTTTCAAAGTATTACTTTAAGATAATGATATTAATAGTTTGTTATTCGATTTAGGAACTACGAAATACCAATTTAAATCGGGGATGAATTTTATTATCGAAATCCACAATAACGTTACTGCAGTCGGTTACTTTTTGAATACAGCTGAGTCAAGTCTTTCATTCCGTCAACAGTCAATTTAATAGACTATACATACATTCCTTTATAAATATTCGTTTGAATATCAATCGATTTATGACTGGTCTTGAAATTTTTTTATTCAATGCAATATCGAACAAACTTTTAACGTATAAAACGGTTTTTTCATGCACGAAGGAAAAATATAGAATGTAGTACACGTCGATCAATTATAAAATCTCGACCCTGTTATAAGGCACCACACACTGTTTCCCTTTATAATGAACTCAATTATAGGATTTTCTTTTCATCCCACCAATTCTCGCTGATTTTATACTAGATTGTTGCATTTTACTTGACAAACCTTGCCTGAATTCAATATCTTTGTTAGGAGGATTATATGTCATCGGATAAGATGATGCAGCGGGAAGAGGCATAGAATGACGGTTCAAGAATGTTCGTATGACCATGTCCATAGCTGTTGGCCAAATCTCATTTTTTCGCTAAAATTAAAAAAATATAGCTCAAAAAGTGGATTTTATTGTGTTATATAGTTTGTTTTTGATGACATATGTACCTCGTAGTGTGTTGAGCCCATAAGTGTTGAATAATGTACAAAACTTTCTGAAATCCGATGAATATCCTGAAAATGATCGGGAGAAAGCGTTTCATTGAAATTCTTGAAGAATTTCGGATAGCTTAGATAGAGGGAATTTATAATCATTTCTGGATCCCGTGATAAATTTTCAGTAAAAAACTATTTCATTATAAAAGATCGTTGATAAATTACTAAATAAACTAAATAAGTCAAATTGGC